ATCAGAAAGATTAACTAGAAAGGGAAGACGTACCCTTTCTTTTGAAATTCATTTCCTTTCTCATGAAACTTATTTCTATTTACTATCTTTTCCCACCCTGCCTACCCACCCAAGACCACTGCATCCAGATCTATGATAGAGCTTCCTACAGTATGGTTCCTATTCTTGGTAAAAGTCTATCAGATCGTGGTAGTTTGGCTCATGTAGCAGAGATGTATATAGTTAAATGGAAAGCTTTGAATACCTCTGAAGTATTATTGCTATTTGCACAAATGATTTCTTTTCACATAATTAGATAAAATTCTTGTGAATTTTCTCTAGTCTAATTTCAGTACAGACATACTGAGACCTTTGGCTCATTCTAAAACATTCCTCAAAAAGGTTAAGGTTGGTTCCTTTAAAATTCTTTCTTCAATGGGCTTGAGAATCTAAGCTCTAAGTACCTCTAAACCTCTTCAATTTACTAAGTCTCAATCAGAGAGACAATGGAAACAGACCAGAAGGAGAAAAAAACAAACATTTCTGTCAGTCTGGTTTCTGGGAGAGGAAAGTAAGACCTGGTTTGTTCTCAATGAGCACCTAACTGGTATATATGATGCAGAAAGGTTTCCTCTTTCATAGAAATAGAAGATAAAGCAGAGAACAGATCAATTTCACTCTCCTACTGGGCCTCTAAGCAGCCTAAGCACCTGCTTAACCTAATGAAAACCATCAAAACCCCACTGAAGAAAGGCACAGAAGTGAGAAACGGAGAAGCTAGTCAACTCATCCCTCATCCATATTAATAGTAGTAATAACGAGAATTGCTATCTTCTTTTCAGTGTCCCAAAGTATGAAACACTGCTAGATTCTTTACACACACAACGCAAAGAGTCTGCCAAATTTCAACAAGCCTGCAAAAAAGGCATTATTAGCTATCCATATATTATAGATGAAAAAAGAGACTTAGAAAAGTTCAGTAGCATTCCCAAGGTCAGACAGCTAGGCAGTGCTGAAACAATTTTGACTCTAAAGCCCATTGTGCTTTCTTCTCTGTCACTTCCCTTGCTCTGTCAGTTAAAACAGTGAAATCAGAAAATATCAAACTTTACTTTCCTTCTGTAAGCTTTTGATACCATCCTGACCTGAGACCTATGTTCTGGAAATACAATCAGCTCAAACATTAATCAACTTTTGTAATGGCTACATCCTCTATACCTTATACTATTACATGCTAACACCTTTTAGAATTATTCCTATTGGACATATTTCTCTCTACATTTCAGATTTATCTCTCCATTCATACTCATTTAGCTAGGCAAAAATCAACTAGGTTCATCACACTGCTTGACTTTGTAAATGGCATATTCATTTACATAGTTAATTTCTCAAGAAATAAGCTTTCTTTGTTCAAAGACTGAAAACTACCAAGGATTTTTATGTTTTAGTAATAAATTCTCTATTTCATGTAAGAACAAATCCTTCAAAAGCCTGATCCAAATGCAAATATGTAAAATATCTTTACTCTTTTCTACTAAGGGACTGGACTGGTCTGGGTTCGTATAGTTGATCAATAAATCCTGTTATTAGAACTTTTAAAACAAAAAACCCATAAATTAGGATAGCACACCTTTAAAATGCCAAAAATCAGAATCCATATAGTTCCTCACACAGAAACAGGCTTTAAAATAATTTGAAATTATCTGATTTCATGCATGAGTCTGAATCATTCATGTACGAGAGGTTAATGTATCTGTAGTTAAAACTGTATTGTTTTAAATCATATCCTTGTTTTATGTTTCTAAGTTTTACAGAGTTTTATGTACTGTAAAATCATCTATATTATCCTTTGACAAGTTTATACTGGTAAAGGGGATTTGTACTTGAGCAATCTACTTGGAATAAAAACCATGGATGTCACTGTTTTTTAATCATACCTTTCATTCTCTTTTCTTTGACAAATTCTACAAATACCACTTATCTTTAGGTGATTCAAAAAATCTTAATTAAACCAATTATACTAACTAAACCATTTTAATTTTTGAACATGGTCTAATATTTACTCCAATCTTCACTCACAATAATAATAATAAATGCTCAAATCAAATCCTTTTATACCAAATGCAAAATTGGTCTAACTACAACACATGTCTAAGTCTTTGACTTCTTTACATGCCTTTTCCTTTACTTTAATCTTATAAGGTAGATGGGGGCGAGCAAACTTTTCTGCTGAGGGCCAGATATAAATACTTCGGGCTATGTAGGCCACAGGGTCTTTGTTGCAACTGTCCCACTTGCAGCTGTAGCGCAAGAACAGCCACAGAAGATACGTAAATGAATGTGTGTGGCTGCACTTAGCTGACACCCTGATAGATCTGGCCCATGGCAGTGGTTTGCTGACCTATGTGCTAAGAAAACAGGAAAAACTGTGTCACTACAATCACCTGGGGGTATCTTAATATTCATCCTGACAGAAGAAACTATTCTGCCCATAACCATGCTGAGTTTAGACTGCTTCGACACTAAATACAATTATCTTGATCCAGAAGAGTGCTAAATGTAATAGTCCACCGAAGTTAAATTCTGCTTTACCAGACAGCCACAAATTTTTGTGTGTGTTTTGTGTGTTAGGTTGCACCCTAACTGTGGCCAGGATTTCTAAATTGTCTGCTACCTCCTCCTTCTCTCACTTTAGTTCTCCAACTCACCCCAATTCCACTTAACATAATATTTATTTATTTATTTATCTTGTTCCGGGGAGATCAAGGTATCACCACCTCCTCTGTATTTAAAAAGTGATTTCAGGGACTTCCCTGGCGGTCCAGTGGTTAAGACTCCGTGCTCCCAATGCAGGGGGCATGGGTTCGATTCCTGTTTGGGGAACTAAGATCCCACATGCTGCATGGAGCAGCCAGAAAAATAAAAATTAAAAAACTTTTTTTTACAAAAGTGACTTCAATTTCCCCTACTTCTGCTACCAGAGTTGGAGGCTGACTTCATTTCCAATCCCCTTCCCTGCTGCCTCCCACTGTCTAAATTGGATAAGCTAAACGTTCACTTCCTCAGCCTCCCTTGCAGATTAGCATGCCCATGTGATAAAGTTCAGGGTAATAAATATCTCATGAAAGACTGCTGTGGGGCATCGTCGAGGGAAATGCCCTAAGAAAGATTTTATGTATTTTGAAAAAGGACAGGGAGTCACAACTACCAGAACGTCTTCCTTCCCCTTTCTTTCTGCCTTAATGCAAATGTAATACCTGGAATTGGAGTAACCATCTTGAAACCTGGAATCCTGCAACCATTAGAAGAAGCTAAGAGAACTGTACGGACCCAGCACTGAAAACTTCAAGCCACTGAACCAATGCCAGAGGCCACTTATCTCCAGAATTGTTATGTGCAAAGAAATAGACCCTGTAAAGTGAACTTCTGTTACAAATAGAAGCATTCCTAGTCCACCTTTTCTTGAAAGTGCTAGGGTCCTGAGTCACTATTCCTTTTGCAAAGTGAAAGACTAACACTGGCTGAGCACAGACGTGAATTCTGACTAAACAGTGCTATTTTAACCAAGAGAGAAAAGTAGCAAGAAGAAAATCACAGAGGTGGGGGCGTAGGTTGAGAGTTGACAACCCAGCGCAATAAAGTCAAAGAAAGCAAAGAAAAGAGAAGGCCCAAGATGATTATTCAAATGTTAAAGAAATATAGAAAAAAAAAATTGAAAAAGTACTCCTTTCAAACTGTGGAGCCCATAAAACTAACAAATGTTCTACTCCACAAATCAAATCGGAGAATTCTGATTCTATTAATTTGCAATCATGCACTCCCACTGTTTGAAAAATACAAGTTCAGAACTCAATTTTTATAGTTATTTTTTGTGCTTTTTTTTCCAGTGAATTAATTTATCTTTATGCTTCTATTTCCCTGGTTTTCACAAAGGTATAGTTACTGTCAATACATGATCATTTTTGACACTCAAAGAATCTTCAAAACAATTATTAAAATCAAGTAAATGGGGGACTTCCCTGGTGATCCAGTGGTTAAGATTTTACCTTCCAATGCAGGGGGTGCGGGTTCAATCCCTGGTCGGGGAGCTAAAGATCCCACATGCCTTGGGGCCAAAAAACCAGAACATAAAACAGAAGCAATATTGTAACAAATTCAATAAAGACTTAAAAAATGGTCAACATCAAAAAAAAAAATCTAAAAAAAAAAAAAATCAAGTAAATGATGCTACTGACAATAAGGACAATCGTTCCTTTAAGCATTCACATACTCCTTTAGCTGGCAGATCCTAACTTTAGGGACAGTCACTTCTCTTTTATACCAATGTCACTGCAAAAAACACCCGAAGATAAGTATCTACCCAGTCAAAACAAACTTCAGAAATATGCTTATTTCAACTCACATATCCCTTAAAGTACAATTCTTAAGTTAAAACACCATTTTTAATTTTACTTTCTTACAAATAATGAAATTATACATATTTACACTCACACACACATAACCCTCTCTCTAATTCTAAACCCAATAGTTTTCTCTTCCATGAGAATAATTTGGTAGTATTATGTTGCAGTATAAACATTTATCAATTACAACATCTATAAGTTACAACGGATTTTTTTTATTTTTATGATTTCAGAATAGAATTCCTTAGAACTGTCAAAGCTTTAGCTAGAAAGAATACCAAAGACAAAGAGGGTTCAGGCTCAATTACAGTAGTGGAACGGAATTTAATAAAGTTCCAACACTACATTTTAACGCCCAAATTTCTTATTGTCTCTTTGAATTGACAAATGTGTGCTCCACAGTATAACAGCAGCAGTGGAACAGCTGGACGACTGTATCAAGCACAAAGGAAGCAACAACACATGCTGTTAAGTGTCGTTCTAATTGCCTAAAAATGGCAGCCCATGCAGATTTACTCTGTTATAAATTAAAACAATTATTTCTCTGGAGTTTACATTTTCTTCATGAAAGAGTCAAACTTTCTGCACGTTAAAAAAGAGGACTTTCAAAAAGGATATCTTCCCTTTCTTTTATGATCAGTTCATTCTGTTCTTCCAACTGCCTGATCTTCTTCTCAAATGATTCCTGCTCAGCTTTGAGTCTTTCTTCTGTTACTTCCTTTTCCTCACTTACTCTGAAAGAAATACAAGTGAAAAGAAAATGCCCATGAGAATAAAATAAAATATGTGCCTACAGCTGTGGTTTACCAAAACTAGATTTATTCCAGAGGTGTATGCTGGTTTCTTCAGGGATACTTTATGTTTTTTGAATTTTTTAAAATTAACCTTTCACAAGGCAATATTCCACACCTTTGTAATAAAATATGCATGTGGTTTTTACATCAAGAACTTTTGCAATAATCAGAACTGTCTTAAATATGGAAAGTCCTATACTTTATGGGTTCCCAATTATGATCCAAGACTGAAAAATATCGAATTTTTAAAACAAAGCTTTCGCATTATCAAATAAGGCACAATTTATTTTGATTTAGATCTTTTTCATACTTCTATTTAAACCCTGTCAATAAAATAAACAACATATATACTACGTAAATATTGCATCAAACATACATAGGTGATTTTACTTTTTCCTGGTACTAATACCCTGCAATCTTCAGTAGCATATAAATAACTGGACTGGAATTTTTAAATGGCATTAAGATAAAAAAAGGTTTGCACATTTATTCTTAGTTCAAAAAGGGGTTATAAAGTAAAAAACACTGACCAAAAATATGTATCTTTAATGCTTAACTCTGAAAGGTATTCCAACTCAATCCTATCAAAAATGGGTGGTTTCTGATAAGAGCACAGAGGGGGGAAAAAAACTAAACATTAGAACTTACCTTAAAATGACAACCCTAATTTTCATGTTACTCTGTGAACAGAGATGTTAGCTCTGAATTTCTGTCACTGGTGATTAATTCTCCAAAGAGAGTACAACACATTTTATTCTATAAGATCACACAGGGATATGTGTTAGTGAAATCCACAGGGAAGCCAAATCTTTTCTTTGAGCATCTAAATTTATTTCCTCCCACACCTGTACTCCACCAGAGCAATTTCTGAATAACATGAACTCCACAGCCTTTCCTTTGTTGCTAGCTTTCTGGTGGAGATATTAAGATCAATGAAATAACAGAATGAAAATTAGAATTTTGAATGTTCAAGAGTTGACTGCATCTTGTCTTTGAATTAATTTGTGTGAAAGTGCAGGGCATATAGTAATGTTCAAAAAATAGCTTTATTTTTTCTTGCTTATCATGACATTCCAATCATTTTCCCGACTCCTATTATTTACATTTAGCATACTACTAGGCTCATGTATGGGACTCAGGACCTTCTTTCTACGAGCATAATCTCTAATACAGATACAATTACAAGGAATCCACACAAGTAAACAAGGAACAAATATACACATACGTAGAGGATTTATAATCTCGTCTCAGGTTAGCCTGCTCCCTTGTTGCCATCTCTTTACAATGCCTTCGCTATTCTTGTCATTATCCTCAACCACATTTATACTAACATCTTTCACAGTAATTCCCCACTGCCTCTTAAGTTTTTTCTAAAATTGTCAAACATTTGAACCATTAATTCATTCTATCATCCAAATCACTCCTCTTCAATCTATCAACTGGCTTCTGAAACACCTTTGCTAGGAAACTGTTCCAGATCAAGTACACCCCCAAACTGTAAATCAGAAAACCACGTACATATGGTGACTGTGGCAAAGCATGCTTATTTCTCTGGGCATCATTACTCCCACTCATAAACAAAAAAGGCTAGACAATTTTAAAAATTCCTTCCAGCTTAAGTTCTATAATTTCCTTTACTATACCATAAACATACTGGAACTATATATATGTCCTTTACAAATATGGAGAGCATTTGTAAAGAAATAAGAAAGAAGTTAACAAACATCTGGTCAGGGTACAAGGCATACAATACTGTAATCTATGCAAAAGCTACAGCCATAGGATGAAAGAGGCAGTGGAAGAGGATGACAAGAGAAATATTAAAAAGTGTAATGATGCAAAATTTCGCATGAGGTTAACGTAAAACAAAAGAAGTGATGAATCTGTAGGATTATGCATAAAAGAAAGATGAAATAGGTAATGCTATATATTGTAAGGAGAGAATAAACACTGTCAAGGTGAGAAAATATGTGGCAAGATCTCTCCCTGTTTAGATTGGTCAAATCTTAAAGATGAGACTGAAGAGGAAAATCCATAAGCAGATAAGAGAAGATTTATTTTCATTTACTTATTAAAAAATATTAACTGAATGCCTACTATAGGAAAAAATAATCACAGTAAGTTTATCCAGTTATGGGATATCCGAAAGGAACCTCACAATGGCCCCTGTCATTTCAATTCCATTCATAAAAGCCAAATAAATATGAGGAATGACCCAAAGATTTGTTTGTTCAAGAAAGCAAGGCTTCCAAGGTCATAAAAACAGTAACAACAAAGTACACTGCCACATTTACCTAACATTAAAGTAAATGAAGAAAGTATGTCTAGAGACTGCCAGGTCAGAACATATACCCCAGCATTTACTTACTCCCTTTGTCAAACCTGAAGAAAATCCATGAAAACTCTAGGGATCACTGACGGCAAAAAATGCTTGTACATATATTCAATAATGCCAGTGGCTATGATGAGCTTCTCCCAAAACGTAAAGTGCTCTATCCAGAAGAACCACTCTTTCCTAAATTTAGTTTCTAGAGATATTTGAAAATTTTGTTGCTACACTATTTAAACAGGGCTTTTTTTTAAAAAAAAAGAAAATCTTTTCTGTTACGCTGCTATGATTAGACTACCCGTTAGCAATTATTATGCTCTGGAAGGCTATAAACTTAACAAGCTGTGTTAAGCACAAAAGGCAACACTTCTATAGGCCTATCTAAAGATATGCATGGCTTCTCTGTGGTCTATTAGCATAGTTAATAGGAGCAAGTGTATTAATACAGCCTTTAAATGCAAAGGACTTGCCAATAAAACAAACTCGAGATTTTATATCCACTCTGAAATATGTCTTCCTGTTTAATTTATGTTCAATAATATTTCCCATGAGGTGTATGTACGAGAAATTATCTGGTATCATGATCTACATTTTTTATCAAAGCATTCTCAGACCACAAAGTAACATAAAAATACCTAATCCTCTATCTCATTTAGAGTACAGCAATAAGCTAGTTAACAAAATGAGAATGTAAACACAAAAAAGGGAAATATTTGACCAATAGGATAGAAAAGTTGAAAACTCTGGTCAAGAGGATATTCCCAGTGTTGATTTGTTAATTATTTACAAGGAGGACAATAGTCTGTTCATAAACAAATAATCATTTCAGCATTTATTTAACATCTCAGAGTACTTCTCAATTATGTCCACAAACTATACTCTTATCTAACAAGGAATGATAATTCATACACTTAGAGTTGGGTGGTTCAGCTGAAAACCATGGCAAAAAACCTGAGTTTCCTTGAAGGCTTATGTTTTAGCTTAAACATCCCTGCACATTCTGTATTTTTCTCCATAAAACAATCTTTTCTGTTTTAATATAAAAAGTTTCCCCATACCCATCTATTCTAAACTTTTTAGTAAAACTAATGTTCTAGGAAGAGATTTATTTTATGGCTTTACATATCCCCAATGTTCTTCTAGGTACTCCAGAAATGTCTTTCTACTGTGAAAGACAAGGTCAAGGCAACGAAGCTTCTATCCCAAAGAGAATTAGTTAGAGCTCACCAATGGTCAACCAGATAAATTTCTTTCCCTGATTGACATCTCACATTTGGAAGCAGAGAATGCTGGTAGCATTCTATAAATTCTCAATATTAACTTAGTGGATAAGATTTAGAGAGATTAGATGTCCTAGATTTCACAGGACATCTAGCAGACAGAAAGGGATATACTGTTTTTAAGCAAATGTAAATGCATGGTGAAAAAGAAGAGCTTTCATCATTAAAAAAATATATTTACACAAATATATATATATATATGGCAGTGAAATCATCTTAATGCCCTCTTTACAAATTCTAACATTTAACTGTAATTTAAAATGTACTGTCTAAAGGAACAAAGGTGCTTTAAGAAACGAGAAACACAGCAATCTATGTCAAAAGAGCTCTAAGAACTACAAAACAACAGCAAATGAATGTAGATGCAAAAATCCTCAACAAAATACCAGCAAGCACAATCCAGGAACATTTAAAAAAAAAAAAAGGATTATACATCATGCCTAACTGGAATTTAACCCAGGAATGAAAAGTTGGTTTAATAATCAAACATCAATTAATGTAATATACCATATCAATAAAATAAAGGACAAAAACCACATGATCATCTAAATAGATGCAGAAAAGGGTTTGAAAAAAATCCAACAATGATTCATGATTAAAAAAAAAAAACCTCAGTAAATAGGAAGAAAAGGAAACTTTCTCAACCTGAAAAAGGCCATCTACAAAAAACCCACATCTAATACCATATTTAATGGTGAAAGACTAAGTGCTTTCCCCCTGTGATCACAAACAAGTCAAGGATGTCTGCTCTCGCCACTGCAAGTCAACTCTGTATTAGAGATTATAGTCAGGGCAATTAGGTAGGGAAAAGAAATAAAAGATCTAGATTCTAAAGAAAGAAGTCAAACCATCTCTATTTTACGTGACACAATTTTGTACACAGAAAATCTAAAAAATCCACTTAAAAACTATTACAACTAATAAAGGAGTTCAGCAAGGTTACAGGATAAAAGATTAATATACAAAAGTCAACTATATGTTTATACAATGATAGTGAACAACCCCCAAAAGAAATTAAGGAACCAATTCCATGTACGTCTGCATCAAGAAAAATAAAATACAAAGTAATAAATTCAACAGAAGAAGCAAGACCTGTACACTGAAAACTATGAAAACATTGTCAAAAGAAATGAAACACCTGTATTAATGGAAAGACATTCCATGTTCATGACTGGAAGACTTAACATTGTTAAGATGGCAGAACTCCCCACATTGATCTTCAGATTCAACTCAATCTCTATTAAAATCTCAGCAGGTTTATTTGCAGAAATTAACAAATTGATCCAATCCTAAAACTCATATGGAAATGAAAGGGACTCAGATAACCTAAA